TCATGAAGCTGGTGAGCCTGCGCACGCTGAGCTCCGTGCACTCGGAGCAGGTCTTTGCTCTGCGGCTACAAGACAAGAAGCTGCCGCCTCTGCTGTCCGAGATCTGGGATGTCCACGAGTGAGGGGCCAGCCACCGCCCCACAGCCTTGCCTGACCACCCTCCAGCAGATAGACGCCGGCACTCCTTTCTCCTCCTGGGATGGAAGGGGCCCCAGGCAGGGCCTGAGTCCCGCCAGCCCTCGGCCCTTGGGGTGAGCCCCAGTCCGGGTCCAGGAGGCTCCCTTCTTGCCCACTGAGTCTTCCAGAAGGGGAAAGGGTTACAGGTCCCGACCGCTGACCCTTCCCCCCTCATCCCTCCCTAGCTTACACCTCAAGCCCAGCACGCAGTGCACCTTGAACAGAGGGAGGAGAGGGCCCATGGTTTTCCCCCACAGCCTGGGAGACCAGGGGCTCCCCTCTTTCTCTGCTCCTTTTATTTAATAAAATCTAAAAACAAAAACAGGAAAATAAAATATGAATACAAGCCAGCCCAGAGCTGGAGTGTGAGATAGAGAGGGGGTGGGCTTCTAGGGTCCTCAGTGACACCAGGTCCCTAAACCTGATTCAGCAGGTGGGACTGGGTGTGGCACATACGGTTCCAGAGCTGGGTGTTGTGATGGCTGCTGTGGAGATACAGGACAGGGACCTCAGCCTCAGGGTCACCTCCCTGGACATGGTGAATCAGAACCCACACTTGAAGGATAAACAGGATGTAAGTGGATGAGGGGACCTGGACTTTTGTCCCAACAAGTGTTTGCTGAGGCCTCCTATGGGCCAGATACTGGGTTGGCCATTCTAGAGATGGAGACATCATTCACCTAGCAAATGTTTCCGGAGCATTTACGATACGTCAGGCACAATTCTAGGCACTGGAAACATCCGTGAACAAGAATAGACCCTCCTACCATACTGGGGGAAAGGGCACGGGCAGAATGTGAGGGCATAGGGGCTTTAATGAGGGCGGCACTGGCGGGGCTAGAGGAAATTAGGCATCACAACAAAGGTGATCGCTTGGACCTAAAACAAGAACCCGAGGGCTGAGTCTCCAAGTTGAGGAAACAGGAAGGTGAGGAGAGATCCAGCGAGTTTGCAATGAGAGCAAGCCGAGAAGTTCCTCCAATTCTTCGTCCCGCTGTGCCAGCTCAAGGAGCTGGATGGGCAGTTCCAATCAATGGCGAAAGTGGGGGTTGCATGGAGGGATGCAACTTAAAGGTACATTTGTTTGGGGCGGGGAACAGCGGAAATGAGAGTGGTTACAAACGATCACCTTATTCCAGGAGTAGTGTACCAAGCGCCCAAGTGTCACCACCGTGCGTTGAGTCTAGTCTACATATGGGGAAACTGAGGCCACGATGAAGGAGAAAAGGCCAGGACTCCACCATGTATCGGTCAGCCTCTGCGGGGACCTCTGGCATCAAGTCACCGGCTGGGCTGGTGGGCAGCGTCGGGTGGGGGGCGTGGGAGATGCGCGCGCAGCACCCGAGGTTGTCGGGGAGAGAACACAGCCGCGGCGCGCGCGGACAGCACGAGATCCTGAACGCAGTCGCCCAGCGGGGTGTGGCTTCGGGATTACGTCATGGGAGGCGGAGTTAGATAGTTTTTCAGCAAGGGGGCGAGGCCACTTCGCCGGCAGAGGGAGGGGGCAAGGCCTGCCCTGCAGATGAACGAGTGGGGCGTGGCTCGCTGCCCGGTTGGGCGTGGTCTCGCCCGCCTTCGGTCAGGCGGGGGCGTGGCCCGTCTCGGCGCGCCGCGGCTCTGGGCTTGCGCGCGCCGGAGTCAGAGGTCACGGCGGCGTAGGCTGTGGCGGGAAACGCTGTTTGAAGCGGGTGAGTAGAGGGAAGAAGGGGAGTTCGGGGCACTGGACCTGACAGGGAAGGGGGCTTGAGCAGCCAGGGCACATAGACACAAGAGAGGGTTGCGAGGACACCCCTTGGCCCGGGGTCGCGCAGGAGGGGGCAGGGGCCAGGGGTCTCCGGGGCGAGGGCGCGGGGACGCGCAGGACAAGGCCGGGGTGAAGGTGGAATTCCTCCTCGGGCAGGGGGCGCACGAGCCGGGCGCCGGGGGTGGGACCTGGCCCGGGAGGCGGGGGTGGGGGGGGGTCTGGGTGGTGCACGTGCGGGCTTGGTGTCATCCTTGATTCGGTAGGTGTTTGAGTGCTCTGTCCCAGGCGCTGCTCTGGAAGCAAGAACAAGTCAGAAGGTCCCTGCTTCGGGAAGACAGACGGTGGACAAGTGAAGAGTGTTAATAGTAGCAGTAAAGCAGTGCTCTTGGGCTCTGAGATACTCTCAGAAGGAAACTAACGCAATGTGATCATAGAGAAGAGCCTGCTTCTTTAGCTGGAGTGGCCGCTCTGGCACCCTAAATGCAAAGGCCCAGAGGTGGAAGGAGCTCGATGTATTTGTAGCAGGAGCCGATGGGACAAGAGAGAAATACAGATGAGGTCGGAGTTGTGATGGGGAACTAGGTCCTGTAGGACCCTGTAAACCTTGATATGAAATTTGGCTTTTATTCAAGGTTCATTGGGGAGCTCTGGGAGGGTTTGAGCGTGGAAACAACATGTATTCGCTCCGTTGGCCTCTGGGTGGAAATTGTACTGTAGCAGGAATAAGAGTGGAAGGAGGGAGAGCGTCCTGCAGGCAGAGAGAATCAGGCTCAGGTTACCTTTATGGGTGGAGCCAGGGGGCTGGCTGATGGACTGGGCGTGGGGCGGGGGGGGAAGAGTCCAGGATGACTCTAAGTTTTGTGATTTGTGCAGCAGGCCGGATGGAGAGGGCTAGCGGAGACGCAGGTTGGGAGTGCCGCTCGAAGGTAGAGCATAGGGTGGGGAGTGAGTGGGCAGGGTTTGTTGCCTTGTCTCTCTCTCCTTTTTTTTCCCTTTAGAAATGGAGTCTCGCTCTGTCGCCCAGGCTGGAATGCAGTGGTGCGAACCTAGCTCATTGCAACCCCTGCCTCCTGGGTTCAAGTGATTCTCCTGCCTCAGCCTACTGAGTAACTGGGATTACAGGCGTGTCGCCATGCCTGGCTAATTTTAGTATTTTTAGTAGAGACAGGGTTTCGCCATGTTGGCCAGGCTGGTCTCGAACTCTTGACCTCAGGTGATCCACTCATCTCAGCCTCCCAGAGTGCTGAGATTTGCCACCGCGCCTGGCTACCTCTCTCTCCTTCCTGCACTTCCCCACCCAGGTGTCTCTTACCCCTAGAGAGGTTTCTTCCCTCTCCTGAAATGCTCTTCCCTCTCTTAAGTCCTTCTGACAGCTGCTCTTTGGACGGGCCCTCTGCTGAGCACTGGGGAGCCAGTAATCATCCATTTTAGTAGGAGGAGGACAGGAGATCTCAGTCCAGAGTGCGCTGGGCTATGGTGGAGCAGTGAAAGTCTTTGGGAGCTAAGAGAAGAACCTGGTGCTCAGGGAAGACTCACCAGAGTGGGTGATACTCACAGGGAGTTTCAACTCACATGTGTGTGGGTTTTTTTTTTGTTTTTTGTGACAGGGTCTTGCCTGTTGCCCAGGCTGGAGTGCAGTGGCATGATCTCAGCTCACTGAGTAACATCCACCTCCCAGGTGCAAGCGATTCTCCTGCCTCAGCCTCCTGTGTAGCTGGGATTACAGGTGTGTGCTAATATTTGTATTTTTAGTAGAGACGGGGTTTTGCTGTGTTGCCCACACTGGTCCCGAATCCCTGACCTCAAGTGATCCACCTGCCTTGGCCTCCCAAAGTGCTGGGATTACACATGTGAGCCACCACGCTTGGCCTAAACTCACATGAGTTGAAGTGACCAGACACTGTGCATGGTGATGCTGGAGACCCTGACTTGGGCAAGACGCTGACTTCTGTTCTTGAGGAGCTCACAGGCTGAAAGGATCTGAGCTCTGCTTGCACACGTGCAATAAAGAAAGTAGTACACGGCATTGCAGGAACCTTGAAGGGCAGCTGGTCAACCTGGTGGAGCTAAGCCTGAGCTGAGTCTCCAGATGCAGTGGAGTTTCATGCAGCAAACACTGCTCAAGGCCTCCTGGGGGTTCTGGCCCTGTGCTGGGTGATGGTAGGGTCCTAGGTGAGAGTCAGGCCTTGCTCTGCCATCTAGAGGCCCCTGGCCAGTAAGGGAGGCAGACATACACCCAGATAGTCCAAGGGCAACAGTCGCAGGGGCCTGGGGGAAGGACAAGGCCAAAAGTGTGGAGGTGAGCCTGGGCAACATAGCAAGACCCCATCTCTACAAAAAATACACAAACTGGCCAGGTGCAGTGGCTAACGCCTGTCATTCCAGCACTTCAGGAGGCCGAGGCGGGTGGATCACGAGGTCAGGAGATTGAGACCATCCTGGCCAACGTGGTGAAACCCCGTCTCTACTGAAAATATGAAAATTAGCCAGGTGCGGTGGTGCGCGCCTGTAGTCCCAGCCATTCAGGAGACTGAGGCAGGAGAATCACTTGAACTCGGGACTTGGAGGTTGCAGTGAGCCGAGATCACGCCATGCACTCCAGCCTGGGTGACAGAATGAGATTCCATCTCAAAAAAACAAAAAATAGAGTGGAGGCCAGGTGTGGTTTCTCACTCCTGTAATCACAGCACTTTGGGAGGCTGAGGTGGGAGGAACATTTGAGCCCAGGAGTTTTGAGACCAACCTAGCCAACATCGTGAAATCCTGTCTCTACAAAAATTAAAACATTAGCAAGGCATGACGGCTTGCTAATGGTTCCAATTACTTGGGAGGCTGCATTGATTACTTGCATTGTCCAATTACTTGGGAGGCTGAAGTGGAAGGATCATTTGAGCCCGGGAGATGGAAGCTGCAGTGAGCTGTGTTCATGCTGCTGCACTCCAGCCTGCACAACAGAGCAAGACCCTATCTCAAAAAAACATACAGGTCGGGTGCGGTGGCTCATGCCTGTAATCCCAGCACTTTGGGAGGCTGAGGCAGGTGGATCACCTGAGGTCAGGAGTTCAAGACTAGCCTGACCAATATGGAGAAGCCCCGATTTTACTAAAAATACAAAATTAGCCAGGGATGGTGGTGTGCACCTGTAATCCCAGCTACTCTGGAGGCTGAGGCCTGAGAGTTACTTGAACCTGGGAGGTCGAGGTTGCAGTGAGCCAACATCAGGCCATTGCACTCCAGCCTGAGCAACAAGAGGAAAACTCCATCTCAAAAAATATATATATGAATAAAAACAAAGCTGTGAGATTGGGCGAGATTGGAAGAGGTCATCGAGGGAATGAGCGAGTGTCTTGCTCATCAAGAAAACCAGCATCTGGCCTGCAGTGAGCATGTAGTGTCGTTTTATTGCTGACTCTCTGTTAAGTGCTTGCTCGTGAGAGAGGGCAGAGGCCAGTGTTTGCCAAGCTCTCATCCTGTGCCAGGGCACATGAGAGGGGGTACACGGGGGCCTTTCCTTCCTAATACTGCTCTCCTTCCAGTCTGTACCAACAAGAGCCTGGGTTTTGCGCCTGCTGACACCGTCCCTCCTACCACACCCCTGTAGCCACAGCCAACTGACCTCGGGCAGCCAGTCAGCCCCTTCCTTCCTCCGGGTCCGGCAGTGACTCTGGGCTCCCACAAGCCCCTGCACTTCCTCTGTCCCAGCCGGGTCTCTCCCTGCAGGTCATCACTCCCTGTCCGTCTCTGGCTGCTTACACAGCCGGAGCAAGGGCCACTAACTGAGCTTGCTTCTTCCTGTGAGATAAGTCACTCATGTACACAGTTGTCACCCGAAGAACGCAAACGCGGAGTCAGTTCAAGTCTTCCTCATACGAAACCCCCCGCACACATTCACGGGTGCTCCACTCACGAACAGTGGAAACAAGCCACCCTGATGTCCATCTGCCGATGAGCGGATACGTAAAACGTGTTCTGGCCATACGGTGGAAAAGTACTCAGCAAAAAAGGAACGCAGCTCTGCTTCCAGGCCACCACGCGCATGAACGATGAACGCATTCAGAGAAAGCAGCCAGACACCAAAGGCTGCAGATTCCAAGATCCCATTTATAGGAAATGCCCAGAATAGGCCAATCCATGGAGACAGAAAGTAAGATGGGTGGTTGCCAGGGGTGGGGGCAGATGGGCTGAATCGGGGGAGCTAACGGAGGTAGGGTTTTCGGGGTGATGAAAGAGTCCTAAAATTGATTGTGGTGACGACTGCCTAACTGAACATACTAAATACCATTGAACTATATATACTTACTTTAAAGGGGTGAATTGTATAGTATGCGAATCACAGCTCAGAAAAGCAGTTACCAAATGGAGGCTTCTTCCACCCCGTCCCCTGGAAACCAGTTTCTTAGCTCTCCTTGCAGAACAATGCATTCAAAGCAAACTGATTTATACCTAGTCTCTGCGTTAAAAGCAAAATGATTTATACGTACTCTTCTGCCCACCTTGTCAAATTGTTACTATTTCCATTTTATATATTTCCCTCTTAATATTTTGAAAAGTTTGAAACCTGCAGAGAAGGTACAGATTAAGCACAGTGAACAGGCTGTCGGCGCGACACCTCCTTTGCTTTATCCAAGCACACACATAGACTTGTGCTTTTGTCCTTTTTTGAGATGGAGTCTCGCTGTCTCGCCCAGGCTGCAGTGCAGTGGCACAATCTCGGCTCACTGCAACCTCTGCCTCCTGGGTTCAAGCAATTCTCCTGCCTCAGCCTCCCGAGTAGTTGTGATTACAGGTGTGTGCCACCGCACCCGGCTAATCTTTGTGTTTTTAGTAGAGACGGGGTTTCACCATGTTGGCCAGGATGGTCTGGATCTCCTGACCTTGTGATCCACCTGCTTTGACTTCCCAAAGTGCTGGGATTACAGGCGTGAGCCACCGCACCCAGCCCCTTCTGTCCTTTTCTTGGCTGAACTACTGAAAGCTGTGGTCATCGTGATACGTCACCTCTGAAAGATCTAGCAGTTGACACCTTTTTTGGTACAAGAACTCACTCTGTCATGCAGGCTGTAATGCAGTGGTGTGGTCACAGCTCACTGCAGCCTTGACCTCCCCAGGCTCAGCTGATCCTCAGCCTCCCAAGTATCTGGGACTAAAGGTGAATGCCACTGCACCCTGCTAATTTCTGTATTCTTTTATAGAGACAGGGTTTCACCGTGTTGCCTAGGCTAATCTGAAACTCCTGGGCTCGAGCAATCCCCTCCTCGGCCTCCAAATGTCCTGGGATTACAGCCGAGAGCCACCGTGCCTGGCCTCCAGCAGTCAGCTCTTAAGAACAAGATGTCCAACCGCACAACTACAGTGTCGTCATCGTCACGCAGTTTAACGTGACACGGTGACGTCATCCAATAGACAGTCTTTATTTAGATCTGCCCCGTGTTCCTGTAATAGTCTTCAAAGCTATTAATAATTTCTTTTTTTTTGAGACTGTGTCTCACTCTGTTGTCCAGGCCGGAGTGCAGCGGCACGATTTCCGCTTGCTGCAACCTCTGCCTCCCGGGTTCAAGCAATTCTGCCTCAGCCTCCTGAGTAGCTGGGACTATAGGCACACACAACCAAGCCCGGCTACTTTTTTTTTTGTATTTTTAGTAGAGACGGGGTTTCGTGTTGGCCAGGCTAGTCTCGAACTCCTGACCTCAGGTGATCCGCCTGCCTCAGCCTCCCAAAGTGCTGAGATTACAAGCATGAGCCACCGCACCCAGCCCATAATTTCTTTTTTTTTTTTAATCCAAGTTCTAACCTAGGATCACACACATTTAGCTGTCACAGCAACTTTTTCTTTCCTCTTTTTGAGACAGGGTCTTGCTCTATCATTCACCAGTACAGTGGTGCAATCACGGCTCACTGCAGCCTTCACCTCCCAGGCTCAAGTGATCCTCCCACCTCAGCGTCCGAGTAGCTGGAACTATACATATGCACCACCATGCTTAACTAATTTTTAAATTTTTTGTAGAAATTGGGTCTTACCATGTTGCTTGGGCTAGTTTCTAACTCCTGGCCTCGAGTGACCATCCCACCTCAGCCTCCCAAAGTGCTGGGATTACAGATGTGAGCCCCTAGCCCAGGCGACTTTCTTCTTCATGACAGTGACAGTCTTAAAGGTTTCAGCGCAGTATTGTCACCCTGCACTTTGGATTGGTTTGTTTCTTTGTTTTTGTTGCTTGTTTTTTTTTTTTGACTGTTGTTGTTTGGTTTTTTTTTGTGACAGAGTCTTGCTCTGTCACCCAGGCTGGAGTGCAGTAGCATGATCTTGGCTCACTGCAACCTCCACCTCCCAGGTTCAGGCGATTCTCCTGCCTCAGCCTCCCGAGTAGCTGGGCTTACAGCTGCCCACCACCATGCACAGCTAATTTTTGTATTTTACTGGAGACGGGGTTTCACCATGTTGGTCAGGCTGGTCTCAAACTCCAGACCTCAAGTGCTCTGCCTGCCTCAGCCTCCCAAAGTGCTGGGATTACAGGTATGAGCCACTGTGCCCCAGTGATTCGTTTCCTAATGACTAGAATCAGGGTAAACATTTTCTTAGACCTTTTTTTCAACCCAAAAGATAAAACTCTGAGTGCACCTTTGTGCACCTTGCTTTAGCTACTGAACAGTGCCTCTTTGAGAACCTTCCCTATCAGTACACAAGGAGCTTCCTCATTTCTTTACACAGCTGCATAGTATTCCATGGAACGGACTTAACATAACTTATTTAAACAGCCCCCTAGGGAAGGACAGTTAGGTGGTTTCCAGTCTTTGGGGATTTCAAACAGTGCTGCCGGAAATAACCTTATAAATGCAGTTTTTCTTATGTGATAATGTATCTGCAGCATACGAGCCTAGATGTGGACTTGCAGCCTCCAAACTTTTATGTTTGTAATTGAGGTGTCATTTACATGGCATGCCATGCCCAAGTCTTCAGTGTGCAGTTGGCTGTATAGTGTGTTTTATCAGCCCAGAAACCCCCTCACACCCTTCCCAGTCTCTCCCACCCTAGGAGCAGCCACTAGTCTGATTTCTAGCACTGTAGATAATTTTAGTCTATTCTACAACTTTGTCTAGATGGTATCATACAATATAAACCTTTTTTATGGAGGTAAAATTAGCTATTTTAAAGCAAACAATGGCTGGGCGCAGTGGCTCACATCTGTAATCCCAGCAAATCGGGGAAGCCGAGGTGGGCAGATCACTTGAGCCCAGGGGTTTGAGACCTGCTTGAGCAACATGGCAATACCCTGTCTCTCCAAAAAAGAAAATTAGCCGGGCATGGTGGCATGCACCTGTCTTCCTAGCTACCCAGGAGGCCAAGGTGGGAGGATCACCCGAGCCCTGGGGGGGGTCAAGGCTGTAGTGAGCTGAGATCACACTACTGTACTCTAGTCTGGGCAACAGTGAATAAAGAGAAAATAATAAAGACAGAAAAATTATTATTTTCTCAATAAAGAGAAAAAAAAATTTTCTCTCAATAAAGAGAGAAAATTAGCCATTTTAAAGCAAACAATGGTGGCATGGTGGCATGTACCTGTTTTCCTACCTGCCCAGGAGGCCAAGGTGGGTGGTATTATTATTTTCTTTCAATAAAGAGAGAAAATAATAAAGCAAAGAATTCAGGTGGTACATTTACAGTGTTGTACACCCATTACCTCTGTCTAGTTTCAAAACATTTCATCACCCCAAAAGAAAGCCCATACTCCGTAACCAGTCACTCCTCATTCCCCTAGTATGTGCTTTGTGTCTGGGTTTCCCACAGCCTGTTTCGAGATTCATCTTTGGTGCATGTCTGTCAGTAGCTGGCTCTTTCTTTCTTTCTTTCTTTCTTTTCTTTTCCTTTTCTTTCTTTCTTTCTTTTCTTTTGACAGAGCGCTGCTCTGTCGCTCAAACTAGAGTGCAGTGGCGCAATCCCAGCTCACTGCAATCTCCACCTCCCAGGTTCGAGTGATTCTCCTGCCTCAGCCTCCAGAGTAGCTGGGATTACAGGTGCCTGCCACCATGCCCAGCTACTTTTTGTAATTTTAGTAGAGACAGGGCTTCACCATGTTGGCCAGGCTGGTCTTGAACTGCTGACCTTGTAATCTTCCCACCTTGGCCTCCCAAAGTGCTGGGATTATAGGCGTAAGCCACGCGCCTGTCCCTGCTGACCCCTTTCTAATGCTGAGCGTCTGTTATGAATCTCCCTGAGCATTTATCACATATACCCAGTCAGTTCAGAATTTCTCCATGATTTTTTCAGGCCTAAGCTGTTGTACCAAGGAGCCCCCAAAACACAGTGGCCCAAGAAAGAGACAAATTGATTTCTACACATACTTTGACAAGTGTGCAGGGTTAGCAGACAGCTTTGCTCTGGAAGGTTGTTGGGGAGCTCAGTGTTGTCCCCACCCTTGTGGTTGACTCCCCACTACATCCACGTTCCAGCCATTGTGAAGTGGATGTCCCAGTAGCTGCCTAGCTCAGGATCACTCTCATTCCTGGAGGGAGAACTTGGTCACATGACCATGCTGGCAGTGCACACTGGGAAATGTAGTCTTCGGCTTGGCAACCTGGGGCTGCTCTGGAGATGCAGGGTCAGAAAGGTGTGTTTTGTTGCAAAAAAGCAAAGCAAGGCTGGGTGCCGTGGCTCACACCTATAATCCCAGCACTTTGGGAGATCAAGGCAGACGAATCACCTGAGGTCAGGAGTTTGAGACCAGCCTGACCAACGTGGTGAAACACTGTCTCTACTAAAAATACAAAAAATTGGCAGGGCATGGTGGCATGCACCTGTAATCCCAGCTATTCTGGAGGCTGAGGCAGGAGAATCACTTGAATGTAGAAGGTGAAGGTTACAGTCAGCTGAGATCAGCCACTGCACTCCAACTTGGGTGACAGTGAGACTCCCATCTAAAAAAAAATCAATCAATTTGTTAAAAAGGTGAAGTGAGGACTGGATATGGGGCAATCATTATGAGATTCAGGGGTGTTCGCTTGAACCTAGGACAGCTGCCCTGCTCACCTCCCTCTTCCCAGCCGTGTCTGGGATCTGCCCTAGGTTCCAGTCATCCCCCTCTCAGCCCAGACCCTAGGAGACAAGTACTTTCTTTTTCTTCTGAGCTGGGGTTTCACTCTTATTGCCCAGGCTGGAGTACAGTGGCGCCATATTGGCTCACTGCAACCTGTACCTCCTGGGTTCAAGCGATTCTCCTGCCTCAGCCTCCCAAGTAGCTGGGATTACAGGCGTGTGCCACCATGCCCAGCTAATTTTGTATTTTTTTAGTAGAGACAGGATTTCACCATGTTGGTCAGGCCGGTCTCAAATGCCTGACCTCAACTGATCCACGCGCCTCGGCCTCCCAAAGTGCTGGGATTATAGATGTGAGCCACCATGCCCGGCCAGCAGTAGGCACCTTTTAAAAATTTCTTTCTCTGATATTCAAATGAACAGGAAGGTTGAAAGAATAAAAGTGTAAAGAACACCTGCACACACCCTTGGCCCCGGTCACCTGTTTCAACACTCCGCCCTGTTTATGACTGGCATGTGTTTCTTATCTCCTGTCTCTCTGTATACGTACACGCACTTTTTACAAATCATCTTGAATATCTTGCAGACATTATGGCCATTTACTCCAAAATACTTGAGTGTATATCTCCTAAGAATATTCTTATTGAACCACAGGAAAGTTATCCACGTAAGTTTAACCTGAATATAATCTTGTCTAATCAACCAGAGGATATATACTTTTCTCTTTTTTTGAGACAAGGTCTTTTACCATGTTGTCCTGTCTGGTCTCAGACTCCTGGGCTCAAGTGATCTTCCCGCCTTGGCCTCCCGACGTGCTGAGATGACAGGCACGAGCCACTGTGCCTAGTCAACTTTTCCGTTGTGGTTCTTTTGTTTTTTCTTGGTTTGGGTTTTATTTGCTATCAGTGGTGGCAATTTTGTTTTTGTTTTTCTTTTAAGACAGAATCTTGCTCTGTTGCCCAGGCTGGAGTACCGTCACGTGATCTCAGCTTACTGCAACTTCTACTTCCTGGGTTCAAGTGATTTTCCTGCCTCAGCCTCCCAAGTAGCTGGAATTGCAGATGCCCACCACCACGCCCAGCTAATTTTTTTGTATTTTTAGTTGAGATGTGGTTTCACCATGTTGGCCAGGCTAGTCTCAAACTCCTGACCTCAGGTGATCCACCCACCTCAGCTTCCTAAAGTGCCGGGAGTGTACAGCCGTGGGCCGCTGTGCTTGGTCCCAGCCAACTTTTATATCAATATGTCTTGTCAAAATATACCCCCAAAATAGTCTTTTATAGGTTGTAATTAAGAAAACACAAGCTGGGCGTGGTGGCTAACTCTTGCACTCCTAGCACTTTGGGAGGCCAAGGCTGACTGTAAGGCTTGGGAGGATCGCCTGAGGTCAGGAGTTTGAGACTAGGCTGGCCAATATGGTGAAACCCTCTCTCTACTAAAATATAAAAATTAGCCTGGCATGACGGTGGGCGTCTGTGATCCCAGCTACTCAGGAGGCTGAGGCAGGAGAATCTCTTGAACCCGGGAGGCAGAAGTTGCAGTGAGCCGAGATGGCGCCACTGCACTCTAGCTTGGGTGACAGAGCGACACTCTGTCTCAAAAAAAAAATAGGCTGGGTGCAGTGGCTCGTGCCTGTAATCCCAGCACTTTGGGAGGCCGAGGTGGGAGGATCACCTGAGGTCAGGAATTTGAGACTAGCCTGGCCAACATGGTGAAACCCTGTCTCTACTAAAAACACAAAAAGTAGCTGGGCATGGTGGTGGGTGCAGCTACTCAGGAGGCTGAGGCAGGAGAGTCAATTGAACCTGGGAGGCAAAGGTTGCAGTGAGCCAACACCGCGCCATTGCACTCCAGCCTGGGCGACAAGAGTGAGACTCCATCTCAAAAAAGAAAAGCCCAGAAATCTATATAAGTAGCAGTCTGTGTGTGGTGTGTGTTATGGTTTTGCTACTGTGTGTCCTGGATTGGAAGATAAGGCGGGTTGCTATAAACGGGATTTTGGAGCCGATTGGAGAAATCAGGAAATGTACGTACCCTTATTTATTTCACGTCATCCTCGAGTGGGTGTTAAACATCCTAGATTTCGTTGTGCTGTGCTCAGGGAAGGGAGTTCCTTATTTTTAGACAGTACGTGCTACAGTGTGGAGGGGTGTGGGATCTGCAAGGCATTCTCAAAATAGGAAGAGAAGCAATAGGCCGGGTGCAGTGACTCACACCTGTAACCCCAGCACTTTAGGGGGCTGAGGTGGGCCAATCACCTGAGGTCAAGAGTTTCAGACCAGCCTGGCCAACATGGCGAAACCCCATCTCTACTAAAAGTAGAAAACTTGGCTGGGTGTGGTGTTGGGTGCCTATAATCCTAGCTACTTGGAGGCTGAGGCAGGAGAATCACTTGAACCTGGGAGGTGGAGGTTGCGGTGAACTGAGATTGCACCACTGCATTCCAGGCTGGGTGACAAGAGTGACACTCTATCTCAAAAAAAAAAAAAAAAAAAGTTATCAGATCATGTGCACCCCACACAGGTAGGAGGGCAGAGAGAGGTGGGGAGGAAGCACAGGCTCAGCACGCTGACCACTGGGGAGCCTAGGGAAGGACATCCAGGAGTTCTTGGCATTTGCGATTCTTTCTTTCTTCCTTTCTTTTCTTTCTGAGACAGTCTTGCTCTGTCACCAGGCGCCAGGCTGGAGTGCAGTGGCACAGTCTTGGCTTACTGCCACCTCCGCCTCCCAGGTTCAAGCAATTCTCCTGCTTCAGCCTTCCTAGTAGCTGGGAACACAGGCGTACGCCACCACGCCCAGCTAATTTTTGTATTTTTTTTAGTAGAGATGGGGTTTCACCATGTTGGCTGAGATGGTCTCGATCTCCTGACCTTGTGATCCACCCTCCTTGGCCTCCCAAAGTACTGGGATTTCAGGCATGAGCCACTGCGCCCGGCCTGAGATTATTTCAAAGTATTTAGGCCAGTGCAAAAGCAATTGTGGTTTTTGCCATTTCAGTTGCAGATGGCCTGGGCAGATGGGTGGTCGGTGAGGGCATCGGAGACAGAGGTTTATGGGAAATAAAGAGATGTGCTATGGCTGAGCATGGCCACGCACACCTGTAATCCCAGCACTTTGGGAGGCTGAGGTGGGTGGATCACTTGAGGTCAGGAGTTTGAAACCAGCATGGCCAATGTGGTGAAACCCAATCTCTATTAAAAATTTTAAAATGTACTTGGCATGGTGGCGGGTGCCTCTCAGCGGGAGCTGAACTTGACCATCGCCCCTAGTCTTGCCTTTGGTCCAAGAGTCAGCTGCCTCTGTAATCTTAGCTGCTCGGAAGGCTAAGGGGAGAATAGCTTGGACCTGGGAGGTGGAGGTTGCAGTGAGCTGAGATCATGCCACTGCACTCCAGCCTGGGTGACAAGAGCAAAACTCCATCTCAAAAAAAGAAAAAAGGGCCAGGTGCCATGGCTCACACCTGTAATCCCAGCACTTTGGGAGGCCAAGGCAGGCGGATCACCTGAGGTCAGGAGTTCAAGACCAGCCTGACCAACATGGAGAAACCCCATCTCTACTAAAAATATAAAATTAGCCGGGCTTGGTGGCACATGCCTGTAATCCCAGCTACATGGGGCGCTGAGGCAGGAGAATCACATGAACTCAGGAGGCAGAGGTTATGGTGAGCTGAGATCACGCCATTGCACTCCAGCCTGGGCAACAAGATTGAGACTCCATCTCAAAAAAAAAAAAATAAAGGATGTCCTAAGGATCTGGTGTCAGGGAGTCAAAGGGGCTGCCGCTGCAATAGCTAACAATTGAGCGTCTGGAATGTGCTCCCACCCGCTGCCTGCAGGGTGCAGAGCTGTGTTACTCCAGCCATTCGAGAGAGCAGGAAAAGGCTCACAGTCATGGTGGGTGCCTGGGAGGCCATGGAGAAGACAACAGGGTAAAGGGTGTCTCTGGTCAGAACCTCCACTAAGCTCCAACTTGCCTGGCAGGATGGATGGCAAGCGGCGGCCAGGCCCAGGGCCTGGGGTGCCCCCAAAGCGGGCCCGTGGGGGATTCTGGGATGAAGATGACATACCTCAGCCATCCCAGTTCGAGGAGGAGCTGGCACTGATGGAGGAGATGGAGGCAGAGCACAGGCTGCAGGAGCAGGAGGAGGAGGAGCTGCAGTCAGCCCTGGAGGGGGCTGCAGACGGTAAGGCTTGGAGCTGGAAACCCCTGCTGCCGAACCCATCGCCCCTGGTCTTACCTTTCGTCCAAGAGTCAGCTGCAAAGCTGAGCTGTGACCCTGCCGTGGCTGACTGTGAATCCTACAAAGGACTGACCTTACCCCCGCCATGCAGCTTGTGTGGCCTGCAGTGATTCTGGCCCTGACCCTTGACCCCCATTCTCTTCCAAGTTTCCTGCCTGACCCAGACCACCACCTCTGCCTGGCTCCTTTCAGAGTCAGATGTCGTCCTGGATGGAGAGGACATGCTTCCATGTACCCCACTTTCTTCCCTTCCCCCACCAGGGCAGATCCCACTATCCGCCATAGATCCTCGCTGGCTTCGGCCCACGCCAGCCCCCCTGGACCCCCAGACAGAGCCCCTCATCTTCCAACAGTTGGAGATTGACCATTATGTGGGTGAGTTTGGGGGTTCCAGGTGGGTGCCGGGGCCCCGGGCTTCTGGGGCGAGGCTGGGCCAGGTCAGCCCCTCTGGCTCTGCCCCTCTGGTGTTCATAGAGCTGAAGTGACAGAACAGACCAGTGGGTGCCAGGAGTTGTGGAGTGAAGCAGAGGTGACACAGGGTCAGCTCGGGGGAGGTGCTCAGTGCAGTGAGCTGTTTTGCATCCTGATTTTGGTACCCAGTGGCTGTAAGGACCCCTGTGCCTTAAGACTCATAACACTAGGCACGTACACCAAAAGTCAACTTGACTTTTTTTTTTTTTCTGAGATGGAGTCTTGCTCTGTCACCAAGTCTAGAGTGCAGTGGCACAATCTCCGCTCACTGCAACCTCTGTCTCCTGGCTTCAAGTAATTCTACCTCAGCCTCCCAAGTAGCTGGGATTACAGGTGCCCGACATCATGCCCTGTTGATTTTTCTATTTTTAGTAGAGACGGGGTTTCGCCATGTTGCCCAGGCTGGTTTTGAACTCCTGACCTCAGGTGATCTGCCCACCTTAGCCTCCCAAAGTGCTGGAATTACAGGTGTGAGCAACTGCGCCCCACCAATTTTTTTCTTTTGGTATTCTTTTTGAGACAGCATCTCCCTCTTTCACCCAGGCTGGAGTACAGTGGCACCAGTAACCTCAACCTTCTGGGCTCAAGTGGTCCTCCCACCTCAGCCTTGAAGTCACTAGGACTATAGGTGTGCACCACAATGCCTGGCTAACTTTTAAAAATATACTTTTGGGCCAGTCGTGGTGGCTTAAGCCTGTAATCCCAGCACTTTGGGAGGCTGAGGCAGGCAGATCACTTGAGGTCAGGAGTTCAAGACCAGCCTGGCCAACATGGTGAAACCCCATCTGAACTAAAAATAGAAAAATTACCTGGGTGTGGTGGCACAGGCATGTAATCTCAGCTATTCAGGTGGCTGGGGCACAAAAATCCCTTCAACCTGGAAGGTGGAGTTTGCGCCACTGCACTCCAGCCTGGGCAACAGAATATATGCATAAAATGTATTTGTTTTGTTTTCTTGAGAGAGGGTCTCGCTCTGTTGCCCAGGCTGGTCTCAAAGTCCTGGGCTCAAGTGAAGTGATCCTCCCACCTTGGCCTCACAATGCACTGGAATCACAGTTTTGGGCCACTGTGCATGGCCAGTTGTTTTTATCTTGTAATAAAAAAGAGGGGCCTCCCTGTAGCTGTGCTGTGGAGAATGGATCCTAGGGGGACAAGGGTGAAGATGGGAACCAGGGTGGAGGCTGAAATGGACAGAGGGAACGGTAGAGGGGCAGGAGCACCCCTGGCTGTAGGCCCCAAGGTATTTGGAGGCTGTGGGGGTCTGGGAAGGCACTCCTCCAAGGAACCTGAGAGAGGTGTCCCCTCTCTTACCCTGTGACCCCACAGGCCCAGCACAGTCTGTGCCTGGCGGGCCCCCACTGTCCCGAGGCTCTGTGCCCGTGCTCCGCGCCTTTGGGGTCACTGACGAGGGAGTCTCTGTCTGCTGCCATGTCCACGGCTTTGCCCCCTACTTCTACACCCCAGCACCCCCTGGTGAGTGGCCCCCACCCAGGCCCAGCCCTGGCCCTTGGAGCCCCTGGAGCCCCCTGTACCTCTGACCACCCCTCCCACCCCAGGTTTCGGGCCCGAGCACCTGGGGGACCTGCAGCGGGAGCTGAACTTGGCCATCAGCCGGGACAATCGTGGTGGGAAGGAGCTGACCGGGCCGGCCGTGCTGGCCGTGGAGCTGTGCTCCCGAGAGAGTGAGTACTCCCCAGGGATCAGCAGGTGGGGGTTCCCTGGGGAGGCTGCTGGCTGATCCCAGCCTCTTCTGTCCGCAGGCATATTTGGGTACCACGGGCACGGGCCTTCCCCATTCCTGCGCATCACCCTGGCGCTGCCGCGCCTCGTGGCCCCCGCCCGCCGTCTCCTGGAGCAGGGCATCCGTGTGGCAGGCCTGGGCACCCCCAGCTTTGCGCCCTATGAGGCCAACGTTGACTTTGAGATCCGGTATGGTCTCGGCCTCACTTCTCCAGCCTCTGTCCCCACCCTGGGCAGCCCCTGTCCACTGACCACCAGTCCCCTCCAGGTTCATGGTGGACACGGACATCGTCGGCTGCAACTGGCTGGAGCTCCCTGCCGGGAAATACGCCCTGAGGCTGAAGGAGAAGGTGCAGGGTGGTCCAGGGCAGGGCGGGGCAAGGCGGGGTGGGGAGCTGGTACCCTGCTGCCACCACTGACCCACTCATGCCTGCAGGCTACACAGTGCCAGCTGGAGGCGGATGTGCTGTGGTCCGATGTGGTCAGTCACCCACCTGAAGGGCCATGGCAGCGCATCGCGCCCCTGCGCGTGCTCAGCTTCGACATCGAGTGTGCCGGCCGCAAAGGTCTGTCCCTGGACCCAGGCTCCTGCTCACCTCCTTGATGTGCCAGGTGGGGGTGGGCAGGCAAGTCCCCAGGTCCTGGAGGTGGGACCACCCCAGACTGTGTGGCGGGATGGGGTGGGGAGGGGTGGAGACGGACTGGAGGTGAGGCAGAGCTGGAGTCAGGGTGGGTTACTCAGGGCCAGCCAGCAGGCAGGTAGGCAGTGGGGACAGCCCTGGGGAGATGGGAGGTGCCGCCTCCCTGCTGTGTGGGGAGGGAGGGGCAGGAGTCAGGTCCATGCATCCCCCTTCTCCCCTCCCTCACAGGCATCTTCCCTGAGCCCGAGCGGGACCCCGTGATCCAGATCTGCTCGCTGGGCCTGCGCTGGGGGGAGCAGGAGCCCTTCCTACGCCTGGCGCTCACACTGCGGCCCTGCGCCCCCATCCTGGGCGCCAAGGTGCAGAGCTACGAGAAGGAGGAGGACCTGCTGCAGGTGGCTCTCGCTCTGCGCCCCACACCACTTCCCGGGGACCCTGCCAGCCTCCATGTCCTGAGCCATCCTGGGCCAGCCTCTGGTGCTGCGATGCCTCTATCCGTGGGTCTGTGCGTGCCGTGCTGAGGCTTGAGCATTCCCACTCTGGCTTCTGCAGGGTTTTCAGGGGTGGCTGGGCTTTTGGAACATTCTGGAAGTAGGGGAATCCGAGGCAGGGCGACCACCAGGGTGACCCAGTGTGCTCCCATCCCAGGCCTGGGCCACCTTCGTCCGCATCATGGACCCTGATGTCATCACCGGCTACAACATCCAGAACTTCGACCTTCCCTTCCTCATCTCTCGGGCCCAGACCCTCAAGGTGAGGGCTGTGCAGGTGGGGGCTTCTCTCAGACGCTCCAGGAGTGGCCTCCGGGCCCGGGGCCTCCTCCCCACGGCTTGGTGCGCCTTGCTCCGTGTGCCTCAGCCCGTTGCCTGAGCCTGGCCCTGCCCTGCTCCAAGTCTGAAAAGTTACTGCGGCCTTTGTCAAGAGGCAAGGAGGGCGTTAGAGTGGAGTGAGAGGGCCGCATGTTCAGAGCTCGGGCTGAAGCTTGCAGGGGTTCCACAAGCCACCGAAGCAGCCACTGAATCCAGGCCTTGCTTTGGGTTATATCCGAGTAAGGAAAAGAATAATCGTCAAGAAGGAGGAGAGGGGGAGTGTGAGGACGGACAGGGCAAGTTCCAGATGCTTGTTGAGTCTGGGTGTGTGTAAAGGTGGATTCCTCTGCCTGGGCGCTGTATCAAAGAGCCACAGACCAGGTGTCTGAAAACAGCGGGTCATGGTCTCACCGACCTGAAGGCTGGAGCGTCCACGACCAGGGTGTCAGCTGGGCCACTGCCTTCGGGGCTATGAGGAAGGATCTGTTCCGGGCCAGCCTCTCTCCTTGGCTTGCAGATGGCTGTCTTCCCCCTGTGACTTCACGCCGCCTTCCCCCTCACTGTGCCTCTCCACGCCGCCTCCCCACCACGTGCCTCTACACACCGCCTTTCCCCCTGTGCCTCTTCACGTGGTCGTCTCCCGCCCTGTGCCTCTTGACGCTGCCTTCCCTCTGTGTGTGTCTGTTTCCAGATGTCTTCCTTTTTGAGATGGAGTTTCGCTGTGTTGCCCAGGCCGGAGTGCAGTGGAGCAATTTCGACTCACTTGCAACCTCAACCTTCTGGGTTCAAGTGATTCTCCTGCTTCAGCCTCCGGAGTAGCTGGGATTACAGGCATTTACCACCACACCCGGCTAATTTTATTTTTTTTAGCAGAGACAGGATTTCTCCATGTTGGTCATCCTGGTCTTAAACTCCTGACCTCAGGTGATCTGCCCACCTCGGCCTCCCGAAGTGCTGGGATTACAGGCATGAGCCACTGCGCCCAGCCCAGATGTCCCCTTTGTATAGGGATACCATCATGGGATGAGGGCCCACCCTAGTGACCTCATTGTCACTTGATCCCCTGCAAAGACGTATTTCCAAATGAGGTCACATTCTGAGGTGCTGGGGGTTAGGACTTAAGCATCTTTTGGGAGAACATGGTTCAGCCCTTAATGGGATATATTGCCTTATTTTCCTGCTTTTCTCTCTGTCTGGCCAGCTTGGTAATGGAAAACCAAAACAGGCCGGGCATGGTGGCTCACGCCTGTAATCCCAGCACTTTGGGAGGATGAGGCGTGAGGATTGATTGAATCGAGTTTAAGACCAGCCAGGGCAACATATCAAGACCCTGTCTCTATTAAACAGAAAAAAAGAAAAAATCTATTCTGAAATACAGAGCAAACTCTTAGGACCCCCAGTGGCTCCAGCTGTCCACTCCACAGCGTGGCGCTGATGCCTGGGCCAGTGCACTCCTCCTCCCCTTCCCTGGGCGCCCCTCACCCTCTGCCCTGGGCCCAGCCCAGGTTTCTCCTGGTTTCAGTCTCCCCCAGGCTGGGCTCCAGCACCCTGCAAGGTCCCCTCCACCCAGGTGCTCTCCAGCATCTTCAGCCCCCTGTCTCAGCCTAACTCTATGCTGCTGCCTGCTCACAGCGTCCCCAAATCTCTTCCTGTTCCCTGCCTAGGTGCAGCCCGCAGCCACTGGGCTCTGTCCGCTCCCAGTCCATCCGGACCCCACCTCTCCCTGTCCCAGCCCCAGCTGCAGCTTCATCCTCCCTCTGGACTCCTTCCCCAGCATCCAGCTCCCCACACCCAGCCCTGCCCATCTTTTTGCCCCCAGGGTTGCTATAGGGATGTCATGGTTGGTCTGGATCTCCGTTCCTCTGGCTGATGTGACACTGGGGACTCCCAGCCTGCCGCACACCCTGCCTCTCCCCGCCAGGTACATACATTCCCTTTCCTGGGCCGTGTGGCCGGCCTTCGCTCCAACATCCGGGACTCATCATTCCAGTCCAAGCAGACGGGCCGGCGGGACACCAAGGTGGTCAGCATGGTGGGCCGCGTGCAGATGGACATGCTGCAGGTACAGCTGCGCCGGGCAGGTGCCGGGAGTGTCCCTGTCCTCGGGAGGCCATTGCCCAGGCCTGCAGCCAACTCACCTGCCCACCCACCCAGGTGCTGCTGCGTGAGTACAAGCTCCGCTCGTACACGCTCAATGCTGTGAGCTTCCACTTCCTGGGCGAGCAGAAGGAGGACGTGCAGCACAGCATTATCACCGACCTGCAGGTGCCCGCCGCCCCCTGACCTCTCACCCCAACCTCTGACCTCAGCCTTTTCCCTGGCCTCTCACTTTGGCTGCATACCCCCACCTCTGACCTCACTCTGGACTCCCTGGCCCCCCGATCCTACATCCATCTCCACCCAGACTCTGATCGCTTGGAAGCCGCCCCTGCCCGCCTCACCTCTCAGGCCCTCCCCAGGCCACCTCGCCCTGTTTCCACTTCCTCCTGCTGCTCTGCCTCGCACCCCCAGCCCCTGGGCCCTGACCCCGTCTGTGCCCATCCCCAGAATGGGAATGACCAGACCCGACGCCGCCTGGCCGTGTACTGCCTGAAGGATGCCTACCTGCCGCTGCGGCTGCTGGAGCGGCTCATGGTGCTGGTGAACGCCGTGGAGATGGCTCGGGTCACTGGCGTGCCCCTCAGCTACCTGCTCAGCCGTGGCCAGCAGGTCAAGGTCGTGTCCCAGTTGTTGCGGCAGGTCAGTAGCCGAGACCTGTCCTCACCACTCCCCAGCAAGGGGCGCCACCAGGCACGTCTCTGGCCCCTCCAGGCGATGGCGTCCCGGATGCACTTTGTCTCCCCGCTCCCAATCCTCACAGCCCCACCTGTACCCACTCCATTTTCCACCTTCTCCCTTCCCAGGCCAAGCAGGAGGGGCTGCTGATGCCCGTGGTGAGGTCGGAGGGTGGCGAGGACTACACGGGAGCCACTGTCATCGAGCCCCTCAAAGGGTGAGGCCCAGGCTGGGTGTAGCTTGTTACTGTATCTCTGGGAGGCCAAGGCAGGGAGGATCTCTTGAGCTCAGGAGTTCCAGACCAGACAGGGCAACATAGCGAGACCGCTGCTCTACAAAGTTTTTTAAAATTAGCCAGGTATGGTGGTGCACGCCTGTAATCCCAGCTACTCAGGAGGCTGAGATGGGAGGATGACCTGAGCCGGGGAGGTGGAGGCTGCAGTGAGCAATGATTGCACCACTGCACTCCAGCCTGGGTGACAGGGCAAGACCCCAGCTCTAAAATACTTTAATAGGCTGGGCATGGTGGCTAACACCTGTAATCCCAGCAGTTTGGGAGGCCAAGGGGGACAGATCACGAGGTCAGGAGATCGAGAGCATCCTGGCTAACATGGTGAAACCCATCTCTACAAAAAATACAAAAAATTAGCCAGGCACGGTGGCATGCGCCTGTAGTCGTCCCAGCTACTCGGGAGCCTGAGGCAGGAGAATCGCTTGAACCAGGGAGGCAGAGGTTGCAATGAGCTGAGATCACGCTGCCGCACTCCAGCCTGGGCAACAGAGCAAGACTCCCTCTCGAAATAAAATAATTAATGATTTTGTTTTTTGAGGCAGGGTCTTCTTCTGTCACCCAGGGTGGAGCACCGTGGCGTGATCTTGGCTTACTCCGAGATCTCCCAGGCTCAAGCCATCCTCCTGCCTCAGGCCCCTGAGTAGCTGAGACCACAGGCATGCACCACCACACCTGGCTAATTTTTAAAAATTTTTTGGAGAGATGATGTTTCACCATGTTGCCCAGGCTGGTCTGGAACTCCTGAGTTCAAGCAATCCTCCTGCCTCAGCCTCCCAGAGTGCTGGGATTACAGGCGTCAGCACTGCTCCCAGCCAATAAATGATCATTTTTTTTAAGGGTGAGGCCACAAGGCAGGGCAGGGGGCAGCATGGGAACTCCTAGTCCTGACTCCCCACTGCGGTTGCTCCCCTCCCAGCTACTACGACGTCCCCATCGCCACCCTGGACTTCTCCTCGCTGTACCCGTCCATCATGATGGCCCACAACCTGTGCTACACCACGCTCCTGCGGCCCGGGGCTGCCCAGAAACTGGGGTATGGTGTCCAGTTCAGCAAGTGTCCCCCGAAGCCATTGGGGCCCTCCCTTGGGGTGCTCAGTTTGGTGGGGGGAGACAGGCACAGGGCCAGGACCGCAGGTCAGAGGTGGAGCTAGAGGAAGAGGGTTGCTGGCAGTCACCCTGCCGTCTTCCACCCTAGCCTGACGGAGGATCAGTTCATCAAGACGCCCACCGGGGACGAGTTTGTGAAGACCTCGGTGCGGAAGGGGCTGCTGCCCCAGATCCTGGAGAACCTGCTCAGCGCCCGGAAGAGGTGAGGCCTTGAGATCCCCTGCTCAGAACTCAGACTTGCTGGGGTCTCTGGGCAATCCCTGTTCCTCACTGGGACACCCCAGGGCTACCTGGCCACAGTGCTCGAAGCTGTGAATGAAATAACACCAAGCACACCTCTTGGCAGCTTCCCTTCGCCCCCTTGACCAGAAGCCTTGTGCAGTGCACAGCACGCCCAACTGTACATTGCACCCACTTCCAGAAAGGAGCCCTGACCAATGCCCGGGGTGCCGTCTAATTGTGCTTTATCTGTGTTACCTCGCAGGGCCAAGGCCGAGCTGGCCAGGGAGACAGACCCCCTGCGGCGCCAGGTCCTGGATGGGCGGCAGCTGGCACTGAAGGTGAGCGCCAACTCCGTATATGGCTTCACTGGCGCCCAGGTGGGCAAGTTGCCGTGTCTGGAGATCTCACAGGTGAGCCCTCGGGCCTCTGGCAGGTAATTGGGGGCAGGTGGGCCCCCTGTGTAGGAGACCAGGGCTCCATGTTGGGGACTTGTATCCAGAGGACTGGGCGCCCTGACTCGCTGGCCTTCTAGAGAGAGGATGCCAACATGGCTTGAGCGATTGGTCCATTTATTCACTCAGCAAACGCCTGCTGAGCATGAACTGTGGTCAGGGCTCACTCTGTGCCCTGGGGTACAGAGTGGGGCAAATGGGATGAGAGTTCCTGTCCCCATTCGGCTCGCAGCTCAGTGGGAACACTCACAGGTCCGTGGTAAACGCGTGGGACACACGTGGCACTAAGAGCTCTGCAGACGGATGTCAGGGAGTGAGAGGGCTGGGCAGGACCCACCACCCTCAGAAGGGACGTGGGGCGGGAAGCCGTTCGCTGTCCTCACAGCAGCATCCCAGCCTGCTTACCCATGGCAGCTCTGCAGCTTGGACAGAAAAACAGACTCTGAAACCACAGAGGGCCTGAGTTTCCCAGATTTTGCCAAGCTGGGGTGAGTGCCCCAGCTCCCGGTCCATGAGGGCCTCGAAAGGGTCTTCCTGTCCAGCCTTCTCCCCTGGGACTTGGGTCTTGGCCCGTTCCAGGCCAGTAGTTGTGCCCCTCTGCTTGGTTACCTCTAGCCACGGGGAGCTCCCTCCCTGCCTGGGTGCTGCGCCAGTTTTCACAGGGCTCTGGGCAGAAGGCCGGATGAATTCCCAATGGGTGGAGCCTGTGCACACACACCCCCACCCAAACTTCTGGTGCCCCAAAGCCCACTCAGGTTCAGTGCTTCACTAGAAGTACTCAGAGAGCTCGGAAGAGCTGGTTCTCATGGTTATGATTCAGTACAGCAAAAGGACACAGATTAAACTCAGCAAAGGAAATGGTTCTTAGGGCAGGGTCTAGGAGGGACCAGGTGTGTCTTCCAGGTGTCCTCTCCCAGTAGAGTTGCCAGGATGGCCCTCCTTTCTCCCGGTGTTGATACATGGCCGCACATGCAGCATTGCCAACCAGAGGCTCCCACCCATGCTCTGGGGTCCAGGGTTTTACTTGGGTGTCAGTCCTGTAGGCATGAAGTGCCCTATGACTGGCCTTAGTGTCTCCATCCTCAGGCCCCTCAGTGACCAACCCTAGAGGCCCAACTGATACTGCATGGCCCGCTGTAAATCATATGAGTATAAACCGCCCGGTGTGGTTCAAAGTCTCAGATACGTGGACACCTTTTTTTTTTTGAGACAGGGTCTTACTCTGTCTCCCAGACTGGAGTGCAGTGGCACAATCATGGCTCACTGTAGCCTCAACGTCCCGGACTCAAGTGAGCTTCCCACCTTAGCCTCCCCAGTAGCTGGGACCGCAGGCACACGCCACCTATTTTTCTTATTTTTTATAGAGATGGGGTCTCGCCATGTTGCCCAGGCTGGAACAGAGACACTGTTATCAGGCGGGATATTCTAGGGACTTAGCGGGCCTCCCAGGAGCCAGGCAAGAGCCAGACCTTTCTTTGCAACAAAGTGAGTCACTCGATGCATGCCCCCAACTCCCCTCTGCAGGCACCAGCTGCCTCCCCAGCCTCCTTGGTGGAAAGGGGTGGCTGTGTGGACATGAGATTCCAGCCCCAAAGCAGAGGCCACGCCAAAAGAGCACCACATGGCCCTCCCCTGGGGCCGCCTCTCACCGACCCTGTGCCTCTGTCTTTTCTCTCTCAGCCACTCCTCTGTCATTCTGTTCCGTTTCTGTCTCTTGACCTCTTCCCTTATTTCTGTCTCTCAAGCTTCGGAGCAAGGCGTGGAATAATAAAAGGTATTGAACCAGGCACAGTGGCTCACACCTATAGTCCCAACACCCTGTGACACTGAGGAGCAAGGACCACCTGAGGCCAAGGGTTCGAGACCAGCCTGGGCAGCACAGGAAACCCTGTCTACAAAAATGCAACCAAGCTAGCTAGGCGTGGTGGCAGCTCGTGCCTGTAGTCTCAGGCATCAGCGCCTGCTCAGAGGCTGAGACAGGAAGATCGCTTGAACCCAACAGATTGAGTTACAGTGAGCTGTGATGGCATCACTGCACTCCATTCTGGGTGACGGATTTGAGAACCTGTCTCTTAGTTTTTGTTTGTTTGGTTTGTTTTGAGACAAGGTCTCACTCTGTCGCCCAGACTGGTGTGCAGTGGCGCGATCTTGGTTCACTGCAAGTTCTACCTCCCAGGTTCAAGCAATTCTGCCCCAGCCTCCCATATCTGGGGCTACAGGTGTGTACCACCACGCCCAGCTAATTTTTGTATTTTTAGTAGAGACAGGGTTTCACCATGGTGGCCAGGATGGTCTCAATCTCTTGACCAAGTTATCTGCCCTCCTCAGCCTCTCAAAGTGCTGGGATTACAGGCGTAAGCCATCACACCTGGTCTGATTTGAGATGGAGTCTCACCCTGTCACCCAGGCTGGAGTGCAGTGGCGTAATCTCGGCTCACTGCAACCTCTACCTCCCGGGTTCAAGTGATTCTCCTGCCTCAGCCTCCTGAATATCTGGATTACAGGCACTCACCACCACGCCTGCCTAATTTTTGTATTTTTAGTAGAGACCGTGTTTTTTTTTTTTCTTTTCTTTTTTTTTTTTTTTTGAGACGGAGTTTCACTCTTGTTACCCAGGCTGGAGTGCAATGGCGCAATCTTGGCTCACCGCAACCTCCGCCTCCTGGGTTCAGGCAATTCTCCTGCCTCAGCCTCCTGAGTAGCTGGGATTACAGGCACGCACCACCATGCCCAGCTAATTTTTTCTATTTTTAGTAGAGACGGGGTTTCACCATGTTGACCAGGATGGTCTCGATCTCTTGACCTCGTGATCCACCCGCCTCGGCCTCCCAAGTGCTGGGATTACAGGCTTGAGCCACCGCGCCCGGCCGAGACCGTGTTTTACCATGTTGGTCAGATTGGTCTTGAACTCCTGACCTCAGGTGATCCATCCACCTCAAGTTCTGGGATTACAGGTGTGAGTCATGGTGCCTGGTTTCCTGTTTCTTAAAAAAAAAAAAGGCATATATATGTGTGTGTGTATATGTATGTGTGTGTATATGTATATGTGTGAATATGTATATGTGTATATATGTGTATACGTATGTATGTGTGTATATGTATATGTGTATGTGTGTATATGTGTATATGTATATATATGTATATGTGTGTGTATATGTATGTATATATGTGTGTATGTATGTGTGTATATGTATATATGTGTGTATATGTATATCTATGTATGTGTATATTTGTATATATGTGTGTGTATATATGTGTATATGTATAGATATGTGTGTATATGTATATATGTGTGTATGTATAGATGTGTATATGTATATATATGTGTGTATGTATATATATGTGTGTATGTATATATCTGTATATGTATATATGTGTGTATATGTATATATGTGTATGTGTGTATATGTGTATATATGTGTGTATATGTGTATATATGCGTGTATATGTATATGTGTATATGTATAAATATGTGTGTATATGTATATATGTGTGTATATGTATATATAGGTATGTGTATATAAACGTGTGTGTATATATGTGTGTATATGTATATGTGTGTATATGTGTGTATATGTATAAATATGTGTGTATATGTATATATGTGTGTATATGTATATATAGGTATGTGTATATAAACGTGTGTGTATATATGTGTGTATATGTATAAATATGTGTGTATATGTGTGTGTATATATGTATAAATATGTGTGTATATGTATATATATGTGTGTATGTGTATATGTGTGTATGTATATATACGTGTGTGTATATGTATATATGTGTGTGTGTATATATACGTGTGTGTATGTATATATACTGTGTATATATATATACTGTGTGTGTATGTATATATACGTGTGTATGTATATGTGTGTGTATGTATATATACGTGTGTGTATGTATATATACTGTATATATATATACTGTGTGTGTATGTATATATACGTGTGTATGTATATGTGTGTGTATGTATATATACGTGTGTGTATATGTATATATATGTGTGTGTATGTGTATATGTGTGTATATACATGTGTGTATATGTATATATGTGTGTATGTATATATACGTGTGTGTATATGTATATATACTGTATGTATATATACGTGTGTATGTATATATGTGTGTATGTATATATGTGTGTGTGTATATGTATATGTGTGTGTATGTATATATACGTGTGTGTATATGTATATATACTGTATGTATATATACGTGTGTATGTATATGTGTGTGTATGTATATATGTGTATGTGTATATGTATATGTGTGTGTATGTATATATACGTGTGTGTATATGTATATGTGTGTGTATGTATATATATGTGTGTGTATATATACGTGTGTATATATATCAAGCGATTTTCCTGCCTCAGCTTCCCAAGTAACGGGAATTACAGGCACGCACCACCACGCCTGGCTAATTTTTGTATTTTTAGTAGAGATGAGGGTTTACCATGTTAGCCAGCTGGTCTCCAATTCCTGACCTCAAGTGATCTACCCGCCTTGGCCTCCCAAAGTGCTGGGATTACAGGCGTGGGCCACCGTGCCTGGCCTCAGTTTTCTTAATTCTAAAATTCAACAGTGGGTTTCTCAATGATTTTTTTAGTCAAGGGGGTACCATCCCCTGCCCTGTGGGGCATTTGTGTAGGTAGGGCCAGTGCTGGTTGCACAGGGATGGCCGTGGCACTGCTGGCTTCCAGGGAGGGGCCAGCTCTGTCAGTGGTTCTGTACCACAGAGACCTGCCCAGAATGTCACAGTGTCGGGGAAACAACGAGCCAGTGGCCTCTTTAGGCGCAGCCTTTCCAGCATGCATTTGATGTACTCAGTTCCTCATGTGTACCCAGAGCTCCCGTGTGGGAACCCGTTTGTTTCCACCTGACCATTGATGAGCAGACTCGTAGTCCCATTTTGCAGATTTGGCAACTGAGGCCCAGGAGGGGCAGAGTGGCTTGTGCATAAGCCCATGCCACTGGGCAATGGCAGAGGCAGGACCCCTCCCCAGCCACCATCCATCGCCCATATTCATGGCAGATGGCCCCCAGGGCTTCACTCGGCCTGATTCTCTCCCTGACAGAGTGTTACGGGGTTCGGACGCCAGATGATTGAGAAAACCAAGCAATTGGTGGAGTCCAAGTACACAGTGGAGAACGGCTACAGCACCAGCGCCAAGGTCGGGGGCTGCCCTGAGATGGGCCCAGGGCAGGTGGCGGGATGGAAGCAGAGCCTGGCCCCCATGTCCCTGTGCCTCCTGGTCACACCCTGCCCGCTCTCCTGTTGTGTCCTTGGGTTCCCGTTAGCATTAGCCACCCGCCACTCCCCCCACCCACTGCAGAAGTTGACAGAATGGACCCTGCTTCTCACACACACACCTACCCCCTAACCCCCTACCCCCACAGGTGGTGTATGGTGACACCGACTCCGTCATGTGCCGATTTGGTGTGTCCTCAGTGGCCGAGGCGATGGCCCTGGGGCGGGAGGCCGCAGACTGGGTGTCTGGTCACTTCCCGTCCCCCATCCGGCTGGAGTTTGAGAAGGTGTGTGGCTCCATCAGGGGCTCTCCATTTAGGGTGCCCTCATCAGGGGACTCGGTGTCCCATCATTCTTCCGGCTCACGTAAGCCACAGTGTGAAGGTATTTTGTTGCCTAGATCCTTCTGAGGGTGGGGCCTTGGTTTCCGAAGCCTCCACAACCTTGGCCTTTGATATGCTGGGTGGCAGCTGTTCTTTGAAAACCCTGTCACAGTGTCCCTGCTTGTGAGGTTTCCTAGTATCTGTCAGATGCGGAGCTGCCCTCCACATGGGAACCCAGATGGGGGTGCATCTTGGATGTGTGCACCGGTGCCCAGGGCCGCAGCCCTTGGGATACGGTACACCCGGTCCCAACAAACCTTGCGCCATGTTTTCTTTTCTTTTTGAGAGGGAGTGCAATGGCCAGATCTCGGCTCACGGCAACCTCCACCTCCCAGGTTCAAGCGATTCTCCTGCCTCAGCCTCCCGAGCAGCTGGGATTACAGGCATGTGCCACCATGCCCAGCTAATTTTGTATGTTTAGTAGAGACGGGGTTTCTCCATGTTGGTCAGGCTGGTCTCAAACTCCCGACCTCAGGTGATCCACCTGCCTTGGCCTCCCAAAGTGCTGGGATTACAGTTTTGAGCCACTGTACCTGGCCCAGACTGGGTCTCGCCCTGTTGTTGCCCAGGCTGAAGTGCAGTGGGGAGTTTACAGCTCACTGCAGCCTTAAACTCCTGGGCTCTGGGAATCCTGCCTTGGCCTCCTGAGCCACCCTCCTGGTCCTTACACTGTACTTTTTCCCTGTGGTTTAATGAGCTCTTGTGCCAGCCCTTGAACTTGGAGCCTGGAAGGCTGGGGAGGTCTCTGCCTCAGGGCTCACCCAGCCTTAGTCTCTCCTCCCCTTCCGGGGATGCCTCATTGTCTCCCCAGTTGGGCTCTCATGTTTTAGGGACTATCTCTGGGTTTATCTCAGTCTGTTTCAGATTGGGGTCCCCGGTGGGGGGGGGCCCTGGCATGGCAAGGGGCCTCAGGAGCCACTTCTAGCCACACTCAGGGTCTCAGGGTCCATCCCACCAGGTTCAGGGCGTGGCTCCCATGTCCTCCTCCTGTATCTGGGACCCTGTCTGCCTTGAGTTTCTGGGAGAGTGTAGGGACTGGGGCTCAGCCCCCGCAGGCTCAGGGGTCTCAGCCACGGCTCCCTCCCAGGTCTACTTCCCGTACCTGCTCATCAGCAAGAAGCGCTATGCAGGCCTGCTCTTTTCCTCTCGGCCCGACGCCCACGACCGCATGGACTGCAAGGGCCTGGAGGCAGTGCGCAGGGACAACTGTCCCCTGGTGGCCAACCTGGTCACCGCCTCGCTGCGCCGCCTGCTTATTGACCGGTATGTTGGACCTCCTCCCTCAGACCCAGGGTTCCAGGGCCCAGCCCCTCCTCCCTCAGACCCAGGGTTCCAGGCCCCAGCCCCTCCTCCCTCAGACCCAGGGTTCCAGGGCCCAGCCCCTCCTCCCTCAGACCCAGGGTTCCAGGCCCCAGCCCCTCCTCCCTCAGACCCAGGGTTCCAGGCCCCAGCCCCTCCTCCCTCAGACCCAGGGTTCCAGGTCCCAGCCCCTCCTCCCTCAGACCCAGGGTTCCAGGCCCCAGCCCCTCCTTCCTCAGACCCAGGGGTCCAGGCCCCAGCCCCTCCTCCCTCAGACCCTCCTCCCTCAGACCCTCCTCCCTCAGACCCAGGGCTCCAGGCCCCAGCCCCTCGTCCCTCAGACCCAGGAGTCCAGACCCCTAGCCCCCTCCTTCCTTAGATGCAAGAATCCAGACCCCCCAGCCCCTCCTCTCACAGGCCCAGGGGTCCAGACCCCATGCCCCCTCCATCCTCAGACCTATGGGTCCAGACCCCCATGCCCCCTCCATCCTCAGACCTAGGGGTCCAGACCCCCATGCCCCCTCCATCCTCAGACCTAGGGGTCCAGACCCCCATGCCCCCTCCATCCTCAGACCTAGGGGTCCAGACCCCCATGCCCCCTCCTCCCTCAGACCTAGGGGTCCAGACCCCCATGCCCCCTCCATCCTCAGACCTAGGGGTCCAGACCCCCATGCCCCCTCCACCCTCAGACCTAGGGGTCCAGACCCCCATGCCCCCTCCACCCTCAGACCTAGGGGTCCAGACCCCCATGCCCCCTCCACCCTCAGACCTAGGGGTCCAGACCCCCATGCCCCCTCCTCCCTCAGACCTAGGGGTCTAGACCCCCATGCCCCCTCCACCCTCAGACCTAGGGGTCCAGACCCCCATGCCCCCTCCTCCCTCAGACCTAGGGGTCCAGACCCCCATGCCCCCTCCTCCCTCTGACCTAGGGGTCCAGACCCCCATGCCGCCTCCTCCCTCTGACCTAGGAGTCCAGACCCCCATGCCCCCTCCTCCCTCTGACCTAGGAGTCCAGACCCCCATGCCCCCTCCTCCCTCTGACCTAGGAGTCCAGACCCCCATGCCCCCTCCTCCCTCTGACCTAGGAGTCCAGACCCCCATGCCCCCTCCATCCTCAGATCTAGGAGTCCAGACCCCCATGCCCCCTCCTCCCTCAGACCTAAGGGTTTAGACCCCCATGCCCCTTCCTCCCCTGGGAACACAGGTGTCAGGCCCAGCTCTTGCTCGGTGGTGAAGCAGTGGAAAGAGTCACCTTGGGCAGCTGTGGGTTCAGGCCCTGCCTCTGCCACTCTGCAGCCTGTGGTAGGAAGAGCCCCTCCCTGCCCTGAGCCTTAGCCCTGAGAGCTCATCCTGGTCCCCAGCCCTGAGCGCCAGCCTGGCACTCGGCGCCTTTTGGTGACATTGGCCCGTGCGGTCCATTCTCCCACAGAGACCCGGAGGGTGCGGTGGCCCACGCGCAGGACGTCATCTCCGACCTGCTGTGCAACCGCATTGACATTTCCCAGCTGGTCATTACCAAGGAGCTGACCCGCGCGGCCTCCGACTACGCCGGCAAGCAGGCCCACGTGGAGCTGGCCGAGAGGTCCTGCCTCGGGGCGGGCGGCCCGGCCAGAAATAGCCCCCTCTTTCCTGCCAGCTGGGCCCACCACTTCCTACCCCCCCCGCCCCCGCCCCCGCCACCCACCTGCCCTCACCCACCCACCGCCCGTCTCCACGCAGGATGAGGAAGCGGGACCCCGGGAGTGCGCCCAGCCTGGGTGACCGCGTCCCCTACGTGATCATCAGCGCTGCCAAGGGCGTGGCCGCCTACATGAAGTCCGAGGTCAGGCCCACCTGGCTGCTTGCTCCGGCCCAGCCCCCTCACTCTCACTTCTGCTTTCAAAGATGGGCGGGCCTGCGGGAAGGGCGGGGCCTCCCGTGCCCTGTGGGGCCCTGAGAACCGCCCCTCTACCACCCCGTGGCAGCCTGGGCGTGGCCTCGGCCCCCTCTGGAGGCCCCCCTCTATTTTGATGCCTCCCTTGCTCCCCTATGGAAGGGGGTTCCCTTGGATTCATAATCCTCCCACTCTACCCCTACCCGCAGTTACCCACATCTTAGCCCATGACCTCTGACCTCCTAACCCCTTCCTCATCCTTGCTTCTCCTTGTGAACTCTGACCCTTCTGTGGTGACCTGAGGGCCCCACAGACTTTGTGGCCCAGAGACTCTTTCATGACCTCTGACCCCATCCCAGACCTAGGATCCCCCATGTCACAGCCCCCTCCTCCCTCAGACCCAGGGGTCTGGGCCCCCAGCCCCCTCCTCCCTTAGATGCAAGAGTCCAGACCCTGTGATCACCCCCAGGCCACTGTCCCGTGTCCACCCTGGCACCCTTCCCGGGCGTGGCCCGGGCGTGACTGCCATGTGGCCGCAGGACCCGCTGTTTGTGCTCGAGCACAGCCTGCCCATTGACACGCAGTACTACCTGGAGCAGCAGCTGGCCAAGCCCCTCCTGCGCATCTTCGAGCCCATCCTGGGCGAGGGCCGTGCTGAGGCCGTGCTGCTGAGTATGGGGGGCGCCAGGAGTGGGGGGCTGGGGATACCCCAGGGGCAGGAGAGGGCACTAGCTCACCACCCGCCTCTCCTGCCTCCTTCTTGCAGGGGGGGACCACACACGCTGCAAAACGGTGCTCACAGGCAAGGTGGGCGGCCTCCTGGCCTTTGCCAAACGCCGCAACTGCTGCATCGGCTGCCGCACTGTGCTCAGCCACCAGGGTGAGCAGCCCTGACCACTGACCCTCGGCCTGCCTCTGCCAGCACCCCCGCTCCTAGACACCCACCACACGGGCTGGCACTGCCACCCAGCAGCCCCCGGGCCCCTGGGCAGTGGCTCCTCTCTGCCCACCCCCCACGGAGGGTCCTCAGCCCCCACCCCGGGAGTTCCCCAGGGGAGTTTTCCCGGCACACTCGCCCCGTTGTTCTCCAGCCTCCGGGGAGTTTCAGAAGCTGGGATTGGCAGCGGGCAGGGAAGGGGCAGGGATGAGGTGGCCCAGGCCCTGGCTCAGCCCCAGCACTTGGTGCTGACCCGCCTTCCCTGTAGGAGCTGTGTGTGAGTTCTGCCAGCCCCGAGAGTCCGAGCTGTATCAGAAGGAGGTGAGAGGGCCGGGAGGTGAGGAGCGGGCAGGTGGGGAGGCCGGGGCACCCTGTTCAGCCGCTGCCGTCCCCAGGTGTCCCATCTGAATGCCCTGGAGGAGCGCTTCTCGCGTCTCTGGACACAGTGCCAGCGCTGCCAGGGCAGCCTGCATGAGGACGTCATCTGCACCAGGTTTGCACCAAGGCTGACCCCCGCCTGCCCCGCCCTTCCCAGTTCCCAGGCCTGTGGGTTATGGACACAGCCTTCTACTCCAAGACCTCTCAAGCATCCTCCCTGCCCATCCCCTTCCAGCTGTGAGGTCTCCTGAGCCTCAGTGTCCTTGCCCGCAAAATGGACCCATCCCAGCCCCTCAGAGGGGGTGGGTGCTTAGGGAGGCAGGGCCCGGCATCCACCCAGTGTTGCCTCCTGACACACCCGCCCTTCCTGGCCCCCTCCCCAGGGCGGGGCCGGGCTTTCCCCAGGGAACGGGTAGGCGGGGTGGGTTCCCACGCCAGGTGACAGGTGATATACTGCCAGCCCTGGCCTGCACACTGCCGGGCACCCGCTGTTATCACCTCCCCCATGCCCGCTGAGCAAACAGCCCGCTGCAGGAGGGGGCAGGTGGGCTGGGCAGCAGGCAGGGGCCAAAGTCCTGGGAACAGCCCCCACCCCTCTCCCAGGCTGGGCACTGGGCCTTGGCCCTGACCCTGCCCCCGCCCCGCCTGCAGCCGGGACTGCCCCATATTCTACATGCGCAAGAAGGTGCGGAAGGACCTGGAGGACCAGGAGCAGCTGCTGCGGCGCTTTGGGCCCCCTGGCCCCGAGGCCTGGTGACCTTGCAAGCATCCCACGAGGTGGGGCCGGGGCGGGGCCAGTGAGAATGAATAAAGTTCTGGACTTTTGCTACATGGCACTTTGTGGTCTCTGGGGGCACAAGGCCTGGTTTCATAAGCCCTGGGCCTGGCTGGGACCCTCCTGAGGCCCCACCGCACCTCATCCTCAGAAGCCCCCCCGAGTTCCCACCTGTGTTGCCTGGTTCGTGTGGGCCAAGCCTGCCTCAGTTTCCTCTCTGGCCCTGAATGAACACTGGCACCAGTGCTTCTCTGCCCTGCTTAGGGCCCCCAGGTGTCTGGCCCTGGCCCAGCCCTCCCTGGGGTTGACCCTGGGGACCCTGGTGGCTGCCCCACCTTCCAGGTGCTGACCTGTTTCCTCCAGGCCTTGGGGCAGCCCCAGGCCCCAGGCTTCCATTCCTATGCACGGCCAAGAGGACCCCCCCACCGGGTCACACACCCACGATGTTTCCTTTCCACGTCCTGGCAATGGGCTTCGGGTCTGGGTTTCCCCCCCACGAGACTCCCATCTCTATCCCTGCGGCCTCTGACTGCCCTCAGACACCATCAGTCACCTCACACATCCCCTGGGGGACAGAGCCTTCTTGCCCTCTGCCTCCAGCCTGCCCCTGCTGGAATTCAACTTCTGGGTCTGGATCCTCCCTTTCCTGATTCCCCTCTTCAGCAAACCCCAGCCCTTGACTTTTTCAGGGTGGGACCAAATCCAGCTTCTGTCCCATCTCTACCTCTCAAGGTCAGCCCCCCAACCCCAGCCCACGGGGATCCCCAAATCCAGACAGCCCCTGGCCTGCCCTCCTTGCCACGTGACAAAGGCGTTGTGCAATCCAGCCCCCTCCCCTGACCCCCTCCCTGAGGGGATTTTCGAGGAGGGCCGAGCTTGTGGCCAGCGGGCACCCTCCTCCCCCTGGCAGGGGCTGGGCCAAGATATAAATAGGGGTGGCGGCTGCAGCGGGCTGCACACAGCCCGCCCGGCACCACCATGCTCGCCCTGGAGGCTGCACAGTAAGTGAGGGCCCCCAAACCTGCACTCGGGGTCCCCACCTGTACTGCCCCTCTGTGGGGCCTCACCTGTGGGCAGCAGTCTCTCAGCTCCTCAGGGCAGGTGCATGGGAGAGGAGGGAAGGGGTCTGCCCTTTCTCCTGCCCCTGCGGGTTCTGTTCCCTCTTCATTTTGGACTCTCCATCCCCCCAGTGCCTTTCTTTCCTGGTCCCCAAAGATCTCATGTCCTCGGGACACTTGCTAGTGTGCTCTCACTGGGACTCTCCTCCATCCCCCGGCTCCCTGTTCTTCCTGGTCCCCGAAGATCTCATGTCCTCAGGACACTTGCTAGCGTGCTCTCCTGCAGGTATCCTCCTGGGCTCGCCCTGTCCGTCTGCAACTCCCATCTCCCTGGGTCTCCCCGTGTCTGCTCCCTCTGTATCTGGCATCTCCTGGCTCTCCGAGTTCTGCCTCTTGCTCTCTGTCTCTGCCTGTCTCTGTGTCTCTGTCTCCAGTTTTCTCTGCCTTTTCATTTCCTTCTGCCTCACCCTCACTGCCAGTGCGTCCAGTTGGGGCTCCAGGAATCCTCCCTGCCTCTGTGTGTGAATTTGCACACCTTTCTCCCCATCTAACCTCTCCTCGCGCCTCCTCATCAGTCTCCTCTGGGTTTCCCCCTCTCCACCCAGACATCTCTGCATCCCTCACCTCTGGTCCAAGCTGGACCCATTTAACTGACTTGCCACCAAGGCCCCACTTGGCCCAGGCCCCCTCTCCATCCCACACCTCCTTTCCGGGAACTTTCTCTCCCTCACTTTCCCTGCTTCTCCCCACCAGGATGTCTATGCAAATTCTAGGTAGGAGGGGGACATTTGCCTGCTCCCTACCCCCCCACTTCCTGTCCCAGCAGTGGGTAGTGGGGGAGTCGGGTGAATGTGGTGGGGCTGGTCCCTCACACAGGGCTGCGGTGGTCACAGCTGCTGCCTCCTCCCCATCAGTCCCCAACCACTTTGAGACTCAGGTGGCTGGAGGCAGCCTTGACATGCCACTGTGTCTCCCCCTCTCCAGGCTTGATGGGCCACACTTCAGCTGTCTGGTGAGTTGGGGACCCTGGGGGCCAGGGAGGGGTGGCCCGAGGTGACTTCCCTCGGAGAAGTCAGTTGCTTCCTGCCTCAGTTTCCCCTCCCGCCTCTTCCTGCCACTTTGTTTCTGAACTCCCCCTCGGTATCTCCCGCCACCCCCATCCATATCTCCCGTGTCTCTCTCCCCTCTCAGGCTTGAACCCACTTCCTTGTGATTTCATGTCTCTCTCTGCCCATCTCACATTCAGCAAACGTGTTTATGTGTTCCTTTCCTTCTTTTTTCTTCCGTATTTTTAAATATTTTATTCCGTAATAGTTCAGACATGGAATACTATACCCAACTCTTGAACCCACAACGCAGGCTGAGAAATCACATCTTACTGATGTGGTTGAAAGAAACCCTTGTTTATGCCCCTCCACATTCACACCCCATCCATGTTTTTTTTTTTTTTTTAATTGAAGTGTAACTTACAAGTCAGTAATGTGACAAATCTTGTGGACACATCAGTGAGTTTTTGCACTATATATATATATATATATATATATATATACCTTGTAGCCACATGGCAGATCAAGGTACAGAATGTTTCCATCGCTCTTGAACATTCCTTCCTGTCTCTTCTCAGTCAATACGTTTCTCTGATATTTCCACACCAATTTGTAATTTGCCTTTTTTTTTTTTTGAGACGGAGTCTCACTCTGTCGCCCAGGCTGGAATGCAGTGGCATGGTCTTGTCTCATTGCAACCTCCGTCTCCCAGGTTCAAGCAATTCTGCCTCAGCCTCCCAAGTAGCTGGGATTACAGGTGTGCAACACCACGCCCAGTTAATTTTTGTGTTGTTAGTAGAGACAGTGTTTCACCATGTTAGCCAGGCTGGTTTCAAACTCCTGACCTCAAGTGATCCACCTGCCTCAGCTTCCCGAAGTGCAAAGATTACAGGTGTGAGCCACCGTGTCCGGCTGCCTGGTTTTGAACTTCATATAAAGTGAGTCGTGCAGCATGTCGCTTTTGGGGCCTGGCTTCTCTCACTCCACATGAAGTGTGTGTCAGGTGTTTGTCCTTTTTCTTTGCTGTATAGTACTCCATGATTAGCCCATACCACGGTTTGTTTATCCCTTCACCTGTGGATGACACCGGAGCTGTTTCCAGTTGGAGACTCGGAATAAAGCTGCTGGGATGATTCTGAAACAAGGCTATTTGGTGCACATGCATTTTCAATTCTCTTGATTAAATGCAGAGGCGTGAGACCACCAGGGCCTAGGCATGACGTGGGTCTAGCTTTAGCTTTTCCTAGACGTGAGTTCTTGAAGCAGCAACACATGATTCGTCGGGCGAATCAACATATGGAGGTTTGTTTATTTATTTGAGACGGAGTCTTGCTCTGTCACCCAGGCTGGAGTGCATTGGCATGATAGCTCACTACAACCTCCACCTCCCAGGTTCAAGCGATTCTCCTGCCTTGGTCTCCCAAGTAATTGGGATTACAGGCACCTGCCACCAGACGCAGCTAATTTTTTGTTTTTAGTAGAGACGGGGGTTTCACCATGTTGAGCAGGCTGGCCTCCAACTCCTGACCTCGGGTGATCGGCCTGCCTCGGCCTCCCAAAGTGTTGGGATGACAGGCGTGAGCCACATGCGCCTGGCCTGGAGGTTTGTTTTAAAAGCACTGAACCTCTGCCTCTGTGAAGTGAAAAACTTCCATTTCCCCTTGCCCTTTGCCTCCGGAGACCCCAGGCAGACAAGGCTGGGAGAGTACTTCTGCCCTTTCTCCAGGTGCTCTGATGTGCAGACTGTGTGCCAGTGAGGGGCTGGGGTGTCTTGGGAGCCCACCGTCTTAGCAGGACCTGGCCTCTATATGTCCCTCTTGGGTTGTGTCTCTACTCTCTGTATCTCTGGCTCTTTGTCCCTGTCTTTGATGCCTAGTCTCTGTGTCTCTCTGTTGGTCTGTCTCTGATCACTCCAGGTTCCCCTCTTCTCTCCCCTGTCTGTGTCTCCCCAAGGGTCCAGGGTGGGGGTGGGGACTCCCCAAGGCATGGGATGACCCCTCTTCCCCCCTGCACCCTGTATTAGTACCCAGACGGCGTCTTCTATGATCTGGACAGCTGCAAGCATTCCAGCTACCCTGACTCAGAGGGGGCCCCCGGTGAGTGACCCCAGCCCAGTGCCCTTCCTGCCTTGAGGCCCATTTCACAGATGGGGGAGCTGAGGCCCAGGGGAGGTCATCGCCTAGCACAACAGGATAAAGGTGGCCCAGGCCTATAGGCATCCTCCCTTTCCTTTCCCACCCATCCACTCCCCTATGCAAATCCCGGGGTCAAAGATTTGCACAGCTTACAATGGCCTCTCTGTGCTGGGGGCTTAGACTGGGAGGCGGCCTCGGTCAGACCTCCCAGCTCCTGACCCAGTGCCCTTCCCCCAGACTCCCTGTGGGACTGGACTGTGGCCCCACCTGTCCCAGCTGCCCCCTATGAAGCCTTCGACCCTGCAGCAGGTTCTTTTAGCCACCCCCAGGCTGCCCAGCTCTGCTATGGACCCTCCACCTACAGCCCTGCAGGCAGCCTTGAACTGGCCCCCAGCCTGGAGGGCCCAGGGCCTGGCCTCCACGCATATCCCATGGAGGACTTCTCCAGCCAGGTGAGTGGTAAGGGGACAGTTAAAATGAAGCCCGAGCCAGGCAGGGTGGTGCACACCTGTGATCCCAGCTACTTGGGAGGCTGAGGTGGGAGGAGGATTGCTTGAGTTCTAGAGGGTGAGGCTGTGGTGAGCTGGGATCACGCCACTGCACTCCAGCCTGGGCAAACAGAGCAAGACCCTGTGTCAAAAAAAAAAAAGAAAAGAAAAGAAGGGCCGGGCACAGTGGCTCACGCCTGTAATCCTAGCACTTTGGGAGGCCAAGGAGGGCAGATCACCTGAGGTCGAGAGTTCGAGACCAGCTTGACCAACATGGAGAAACCCCATCTCTACTAAAAATACAAAATTAGCTGGGTCTGGTGGCGC